AAAAAATATTTCAAAAAAATAAAATGATCAAAACACCTACTAAATTTTGATAGGTATTTTGGCATTTTATTCTGTTTGATTCATTTTTTATATTTTTACTTATGCACCCAAATGAGGTGCAAGCACACTCCAAATTTCATCTCGATTTGATATGGGGAAAAACTAAAAATGGATGCGTATTAACACCAACATTTTCGAAATGACAAATAGTCCACATTGTAGTTCACTTTAAAAACTATCAATCCCAAATTCAATCTTCATTAACGGTTGGTACTTGTTAGCAAGTCTTAGTGCTTAAAATTTAATTTTTATATACATAATAATAAGATAATATTTGGGCGTCCATTGTTATAGCCTCATGCATCTTAAAGAAAAAAAGACATAAATATTCTGGCAAAAGTAAAACAACTAAAATACCTTGAAAATTTTGAGGTGTATATTGCTCGTTTTAATTCATTTGAATCATTTTCTTTTTATATTTTTGAAAGATGTGCCTTGATGAGGCACACTAACGCTCCAAAATTTGATTAGATCCGAGTATTATGAAAACATAAAAATAAAAAACGCATAAGAAAACATTTGGAAATGGCGTCATTCATCTAATTATAGCAAAAGAGCGGACGGTAAAAAAAGAATGGGCTCATTTTCTAATTGATAGAGCTACTTCCAAAAGGCCAATGATCAAAGTAATTGAAAAACAAATTTTGGCTTAGTTTCTCACTGATATATTTATTTCACTGCAAATGCTCACCGATAAATCTACTACGTACGCAACTGACGGGGTCCGCATCTTAGCTATAACACAGAACGAAAAACTCATCGCTCATTGCCACAGAGCCTCCAAAACCTGTTGTTTTGCTGGTCTGACCACCCCCTAAAACAGGAAACAGTTTTAAGAGAAATATTAATGCTTAAGGGCAAGGAACACCATATACCTGAACTGTTTCTCAGATTGGAGTTATCTGACTGCAGACCAACAAATTTAACTCTATCCCTGCTAAGAGGCCCAAATCCACAAATCTCTCTCTATCTGTAGTCAAGAATTTTTGGGTATCCATACACGGAGACATTGATCATAAAATGAGCAAGTAGCTGCAAAAGACTTTGTTTCAATACCACTTGATTGAGATGAATCAACCTTTTGCCAGTCCGCCCCATAAGCCAAAGACTCATGACGATCATATCTCTCGACTATTTCCAAAACTCCATCTTTAATCCTAATTATTGAAAACCCATTATGCATGCAAGCTGCCAAAAGCAGGCCTTCTAAATATGGATGGTGCTTAATCCTCCATACTCCTCCCCCTAAGCACAGTTCTTCCTCTACAATTGGTCGTTGCATAGACCGCACATCCCATAGTCTCAGGTGCTCATCATAGCTTCCGGTCAGCAAGAGATTCAAGCTATTTGGACACTTGCTTATGCTGCAAACACCCATCTTATGGGTTTTACTGTTTTGAAATATGGGTTTTGTGGTACTCTCTCTCACATCCCAACCAGCAAATTTACAGTCATCAGCACCTGTGTAAATCAATTCAGGCTGCTGGGTATCAAAAGAAGCAGACCAGAGCTCAAAATCATGAGCTTTCCAGGCTTTCTCTGGATGAATACTGCCCTCTCTAAGGGTGGAAATGGCCATTGAACCATCAGAGAGGCCAGTTGCAATGGATTTTGCAGAAGGGCTCCAGTCTAAACAAAGGCACATTGAAGAGCTGATCTTGGTTTTGCAGAGTTCTTGAAGAAATTCACCTGGGTTTGGAAGAAGTTAGAGAGGATAAGCAAAATGATTCAATAGTAACCCTGAGGATTGGCCATAGAAAATATTACAATTACAAGACAGATCTACCATTGCATAACAAGCTAGCATTGATTTTGAATGGATAATGAAAGTTCCACTGTGCATTAAGAACTGCTATCCTATATTTTTCTGGAATTACTCAGTAAATCAGAGGTAGCAACACATCTCTCTCTCTCTCTCTCTCTTAGAGCATTGCTGCTCCTATATCTCCCACCTTCCTGCGTATTGCAGCACTTTCATTCCGTGTTACAGCAATCACAGGGGATGACACTGGTGTGCGCGCGCGGGCGCGTTTGTGTGTGAGAGAAACAGAGAGACTATAAGCCATTTAGGTTATCATTTTCTAAGTCATGATTACCTTTAATCATTTGCTTTTTCCAATAGATTATCATTTTCTCAAGTAAATAGCTAGTTCTTTAATTATTTCAAACCACTTCTATTTTTGCAGTACGTCAAACAAGCAAAAAACTCAAGCAGGCATTGTGAGTCCCAATGATTAAAATGGTTGCTGTCGATTTTAGCAACATTAAACATAATTGAACATTAGTATATAGCATAATAAATCAAGTAAACAAACAAGAAGCAGTAAGCAGAACCCCAGACATCTCCAAAAAGGATTCTGTCAGAAATGGATTTGCAGCAAAGAATGGAATGCAAACACGTGACCTAGATTTATGTCATGAACTCAAAATATGAAGACACATAAATGTTTGAATGGAACCACAAGATGATTTTGACTCAACTTGGTTGAAAGATAGAAACCCTGCAGCTAGATAATCCTGAGTAGAATATCAGAAGGAACATTACAGTAAAAAGAGAATGAGATTTCCCATCAGACCTCACACCTGAGCATATCTCAACAGAATGGATTGCAAAACATAAAAAACATAACTTGTTGGACTCGCTCGGTTTCTCAAGTTTCTATGCAAGTACTGAAGATTTACCCATCCCAAGGAACTCTCAATCCTTGCTGTTTCATTGACCCTATGCGAAGGTATGGCTTCAAAGATTTCAACTTCTATCAAAAGGTGTGACTTCTCCCATATTGCTTTTCACATTTTCATCGAGACGGAAATCAAATTGCAAACAGTTAGCTGCCAATGAAATTACTCTTTGTGAGATTCTGACACTGGAAACATCACTATATAAAATGCAAGACTACCTCTTCTGGAATGCTCGTTTTTTTTCCCTTAGTTACCATTTTAAAGAAACATATTACAAGATTTTGCAATGGCAGAGAACTTCCCTTCTACTAGTCCCTGTGACATGTACCCATTTTTCATTACCAGAGTGGGGCCTAACCCCCAACCTCCCAACCCCCCACCAAACAAAAAAAAACAGGAGGAAAGTCTATAAATGCTTTGATCCAGCTGAAAAAATTAGCCACAATTGGGAAAAGTAAAGGGGATAGGGGGTCCCCTTGCCTAAGGCATTGGGTAGCAGGGAAGAACCTGTTCGTGAGGCCATTGGTGGGTTGACGAAAGGCAGCTGGATCCACTCCCTCAATTTGGTCTAAAGCCCATCAAGTGCAAGATAGTATTAACTATTAAGGACCCCCCAGTCTACATGAATGTAGATTTTTTCAGGGTCAAGCTTAGAGACCAACCCCAGGGCTCTTGGGGACTGTATATCAATGCACTCCTTGGATACAATCGCATTGTCCAAACTTTTCCTCTGCCAACAAAAGCGCCTTGATTAGGGGAAATGACTTGGTTCAGAACATAGCGCAGTCTTGAGGCATTTTAAAGCATGCTTTGATCCTTAAAATATGAAGAAATAAGCATCTTTAAGAAATTAATTAGTTTGAAAATAAACCACATATTGGATTCTAGGGAAACCTTGAATTAAATGTGAAAAGGAGAATTAGTCTGTCATTTTTGCAAATCCTCATGACAATGGTACCATTCTTGCTTCCTCTGGAGTGCAACAAATCCATATGTTTGAAAGGGAATATGCCTAGTCGTTGTTGCTGCTGCTGTTGTTGTTAATGATGCTGTTGGTGGTGGTAATTCTGCTGCTGCTGCTGCAATTTTGATTCATATGGAACATAAACCATCAACTAAGGAGTTGACACTAACAGCTCCAATCTACTAGTCATGAAGCCAATGGCCTATATGATGATGATTTTCAAAGAAGAACAGCGACGCTAATATGAGGTTCAGGCAATTAAGCTTGTAGTTTCTCATATTTCTAAGTTTCCAATTCAGTGATGTATTGAAACTTCCATAGAAAAATGTTTTCAAACTCTCCTTAACAATGGTATTAACATTCTTTGAAACTGAACATGAAAATTCTTCAGATTTTGGGAAAAACCCCATGGTGAATTGGTGTATAATGATAACCTTCTTAAACAAAATTTAAAAGCAGATGCCAAGTGTTTGACCAAAAAAAGTAGGGTTATACTACCACTAAATGATAGAACTTCAGTATTTTTTGAGCGAACAATCAAAATCTAATGTACAGAGTTGGTTAGCGTGCAAAACCAACAAATTCCACAACCAATGTATTTTAAAATGAACTACTTAACGTGAGCCATGATAAAATATTTATAAAATAGAATACAATGGTAAGGAAAGATACCATCAAATTCTGATATGCTTGAGCTACACTGTAAACCATGAAGCGTCAAATACCCATCAGAATCAGCTTGAGCAAGTTGAGGATGTATGTTGCAATGACTAGGATTCCATTTAATATCAAAGACACCTGATGTTTCAACATGTTGGAGCAACTTGAGGCCTTCTTTGATTTTGATAGAGAATAAAGATATGCTTCCCAGTCGACAAGGATGATCTCCCTCCTGCAATGTGTATGTTGCAGCTGCTAGGATATGGTGAAATGGATCGTTAGGACAGAACTCTACTGCATCAGCATTCCCATCCAACCGATATTGAGCAATGTCCATCCTATATAAGATACAAGAATATCTCAAAAAGTATAATAAATTTTAAACAGAAAACAATGCAGGAATAGGACAGAGAAAAACAGTTTGAAAGTCTTCGCTAGGGCCTTGGTATTCACTGGGCTGATTATAAAAACCATTTGGAGTGAGGCTAGCACACATTCAATATAGTGATGTTTACATAATCAGAATCTGATATTCCATTGGCAGCTAATTATCAGCAATTAGATTGCCGTCTCTATGAATATGCGAGAAGCAATGTAGAAGAAGTCACACTTTCTGATAGAAGTTGAAATATTTGAAGTCATACTCACTTAATGGAAGTTGAAATCTTTTCTTAAATTTCCACCCCACTTCAAATTTACCTGCTCAGAAGGTTAATAAAGTAGCAAGGATTGAGAGTTCCAAGGGATGAATAAATCTTCAATACTTACATAGAGAACTTGAGTGACTGAACAAGTTCAACAAATTATGGTTTTCATATTTTTCAATCCATTCTCTTGAGATATGTTCAAACATGAGGTCTGATCGGAAATCTTATTCTTTTTCTAGTACAAGATTCCTTATAATATTCTCTTTAGGATTGTCTAACTGAAAGTTATCTACCTTTCAACCAAATTCAGTCACAATCATCTTGTGGTATGTTTTCATCTTTTGAGTTCAAGGCATAAATCCAGGTCACATGTCCACATTCCATTTTCTGCTGCACATCCATTTCAGACGGAAATCAGCTTTCTTTTTGGAGATATTTGAGGTTGTGCTTACTGCTTCCTGTTGGTTTACTAGATTTATGCCATACTAATGTTCAAGTATGTTTCATGTTGCTAATATCTATTGCAACCATTTTAATTATTTCAACTCACAATTCCTGCATGAGTTTTTGCTTGTTTGACGAAGTATTGCAAAAATAGCAGTGATTGAAAGAATTACAGACCTAGCTATTAAGTGACAATCCATTTTTTTTTTTGATAATGTTAACCTTTAATTAAGAAAAAAGAGTACAAAACCTTGGCTTACCACAAAAAAGGTGCTCAAGGAAAGGAGAAAATAGAAAAAGGAATCGAAAGCCTCTTTCGTAAAGTTATTGTTAAAGGGGCAGCAACCTAAGAAAAGAGGCCAATCCTTCATACAAAAAGAGCAGAGAAAGAGAAAAAAAAAAAACAAAAATTAGGAAAAGCTCCTAGAGTCCATCCATCTCCGCTGCTGCTTTTGCAAGGGAATCAGCTTTGTGGTTTCCTTCCCTCCGCGTATGCGTCCACACGATGAACGTAGTCCTGCAAACTGCAGAGGTAATGAATCTGATCAACTGATTGAGCCAAAAACCACGGGGGGAGGGGGGGGGGATGGGGGGAGAAGCAGGATTTTGTGCCCAGGTAATGGTGTTCTTGGAGTCACCCTCTACAATGAGAGAGGGCAACTTAAGATGTTGGATGAGTAGTAAGCCTTCTAGAAGAGCTTCCACTTCAGCCTCCATCGAACCTTTATGGCCGATGTGTTTGGAAACTGAAGCCACAATAGAGCAGAGGTGGTCTCTAAAGATGGCTCCAATTCATGACGGTCCCGGGTTACGGAGGCAGCATCCGTCGAAATTGAGCTTTAGCATCCCCTGTGGTGGTGGTTTCCAGCGAGAAGACCTGGAGGGACGAGAGCAATGATGGCTAAGGACGTTGCTCCAATCTTGGTGAAAGGCTGAAGTCGGGATTCCTTTGAATCAAGAATGATTTGTGGCCCAGAAGATGATGGAAGATTTGAGCTTGTTGAAAATTTTGGACCAAGGGGAGTATTCCCCCCTGAAAATCCTGTGGTTTCGCTCAATCCATAAGGACCACAAGGCTGCGACCACCACTGATTTCCAGAGCATAATCCCTGCTTTGGCCCAAGGAAAAGGCTTGATTGAAGAATGAATCAAAGTCACTTCAGCAGGTAGTACCCATTCCACCGTGAACAGCTTGAGGACTGCATCCCAAAGGTTGTATGCGTAGGGACAATGCAGGAAGAGGTGGTTATTAGTTTCCTCTTCCGCTAAGCACAAGACAGCGATTGGGAATTTGAATGCCACGTCTTTGCAGCTGATCAACAGTCAGTACTCTCTTAGAGAGGGCCAACCACGTAAACACCTTGACTTTGGGGGGAGCTAGGGAATCCCAGGCCTAGGCCACAATAGAAGTTGGTGCAAGGAGGAGTAAGTGGTAGCGACATAGAGCGGTAAAAAGATGGCACCGTGAAAAAGCCTCCGAGGGCAGGACTCCAAATGATGCGATCTATACCTGCAGGGGCTAGGAAACAGGCCTGTAAATCTGCCGAAAGAGAGGCAAATCTGGAGAGTTCTTGATCATTTGGAGTTCTCCTGAAAACTGGGTTCCAAGAGCGAGAGGTTCCAGTCAATAGCATTTCTTGGCCTACTGTTGTCCCTTGATCTCTAGCAAGACGATAGAGATCAGGGTGTTTATCCCTAAGAGGAGTGTGGCCCAGCCAAAGATCATGCCAAAAGAGGATTCGATTCCGTAATTTGGGATGAAACCTGATTCGGGGTTTAAAGAATTGAAATGTATAGCAAATAGACCTCCAAATACCTGATACCTGTTATTGGCTCTAAATTCAGGTAGTCAAGGAGAATCATGAAGACGATACTTGGTTTTGAGGATGTCGATCCAAAGTTGGTTCCTGAGAGTAAGTAGGCGCCAACACCATTTGCCAAGTAGGGCTAAATTCTGAGTACCCATTTTTTTAATACCCAGGCCCCCCCATATCTTGCGTTGGCAGAGTTTATCCCAAGCTATCAAGTGGAATTTGTGGTCGGAGTTAGCGCCAGACCAAAAGAACCTTCTCATAAGTTGCTCGATCCTCTTGCTAATGGCAGCTGGAATATGGAAGATGGACATCCGGTATACTGGAATGTTGGCTAAAGATGCTTTGATAAGTGTCAGCCCGCCACCTGGGGATATAAACCTTCCTTTCCATCCAGCTAATATGCGGTCTACTTTGTCAACAATGTGGGGCCACGGGCTTTTGTCAGGCTTTCCAATGCAGAAAGGAAGTCCTAAGTACTTGGATGGTACTGTTTCCTTTCCACAGCCCCAAATATCAACATAGGAACTGAGTGTGGTAGGGTCAACATTGATCCCCATCATAGTGGTTTTGTCGTAATTTACTTTGAACCCGCTGGCAAATTCAAAGCATCTAAGGAAGATGAAGAGATTGTGGACTTCTGTGGGAGAAGCATTATAGAAGTACAAAATGTCGTCTGCGTATTGGAGGTGAGAAACTGGGGAAGCCCCAAGTCCCACAGAGAAGCCGTGCAACAAATCTGCAGCATACATCCTGCCAATTGACCGACAAAAAACCTCTGCCGAGATGGCGAAGAGGAAGGGGGAGAGGGGGTCCCCTTGACAGAGTCCTCAAGTAGAAGGGAAATACCCTTTGGGGGTGCCATTGATGAGGATTGAAAAGTGAGGGTGAGAGTAACAAGCTCTCATCCAATTTCTCTACTTGACACCGAAGCCCATCCTGATTTGAGTTTCTCCTATAATTTCCCAATCGACATGATCATATGCTTTCTCCCAATCGAGCTTAACTATGATACCAGGGTCTTTGTTCAGATGTCTGGAGTCGATGCATTCATGAGCCACAAGGGCTCCATCCAGAATCTGTTGGTCTTTGATGAAAGCACTTTGCTTGGGAGAGAAGACTAGGTGTAAGACCTCTTTGAGGCAAGAGGATAGCACTTTAGCAAGGACTTTGTAGGTGAGTTAACCAAGCTTATAGATCTGAAATCTTTAAGCTGATTGCCACCTTGGATTGTAGGTACAAGAGTTATGAATGTTGCATTCATAGCTCGATGGATTATCCCCCCTATCGTGAAATTCTTTGAAGAAGTTGAAAAAGTCAGCTTGAAAAGATTCCCAGAAGATCTTGAAAGGAGCTAGTGGGAAACCGTCCGGTCCAGGGGCTCTATCAGAGTCCAAGTCCGGTAGAGCTGCTATAATTTCAGATTCGGAGAAAGGTCTCTCTAGACAAGATGCTTTCTCTGGAAGTAGACCAAGGAATTCTAAATCACCCATCTGTGTTTGAGGGGCCGTGGGGGCCAAGAAGAGGGTTTCAAAATAGCCAAAGATGGCTTGCCCTATGTCTGGGGGTCGATCTAAAAGATTTCCCTCCACCAACAGCTGTGAGATAGAATTATCTCTGCGCCTGCAGTTAGCCGTTATGTGAAAGAAACTTGTGTTGAGATCCCCTGATTTCAACCACTTAAATCTGAAAATTTCCATTTTTTTGAGGGATTGATATTGTAGCTTAAGGTTGACACTTTCCTGAAGTTCAAGATCCAAGAGAGGCCTGGATTCTTCCAAATTGTCTAGGGCCTGAATGGTATGCAAGGTGGAGGTTTTCTGGGGTCCGAGGAACCCTGGGAGGTTCCGACTCCATGATTTTAAGTGATCGTTGAGTAACTGCAGTTTGCGTTGTAATTTAAACCCTGCCCACCCAACTACCATATTATACAGCTCCTGGCACCAAGCCGGTAATAGGTTTGAAAGAATAGGTTCTACCAGCCATGCTAATTCAAACCTAAAAGGTTTGGGGCCACTATGTGAGGGTTTGGTATTAAGGATGATTGGGCAGTGGTCAGATGTGGGCTTGGGTAAAGCCAAGGAATGAGTTCCAAGAAAAGAGGTGTCCCATTCAATAGAAGTCAGGAAGCGATCCAATCTCGAAAGAGACTTACTGGATGCATGGTTGTACCAAGTAAATTGAGCACCTTGAGTGGGGAAATCCATGAGGTTGTTGAGGGCTATGAAGTCAGAGAAAGCGGACTCAGCTGGGGATATCCTTATAGAGGAGTTTCTTTCATGGGACCACCTAGTGACGTTGAAGTCACCCCCTAGGCACCAAATTGAGTGGGGTAGTTGACCAACCAGATTGAGTTCCTCCCAGAGAAGAGGTCAAGGCGTGTCTAGGTTAGGACCAAAGATAGCGGTAAATTTCCATTAAAACCCATCTGGAATTCTAGAAAGGAGAATAGTGACTGAGAATCTGGCTCAATGTTAGGAGACCAAGGAATGGGTCGTTGGGTCCCAAATAACCCATATTCCCCCAGAAGCTCCTTCGGCTGACGCTGCTGCCCATTGGCATGGACGACGCCCCCAGACCTATCGGACTTGAAGCAGGGTAGGGGAGGGTAACTTGGTCTCAGTCAAGGCCAAAATAGATGGCCGGTGTCTAAAGCAGAGGTCTTTGACTGCGTTCTTGTGGGGAAGACCAAGACCTCGGATATTCCAGGATAAAATCACCATTGATGGGTTATGGAGAGGCGGGCGTTCCTATGGGAACATCTCAGCAGTTAGCCATTAGGGGCCGTTTGTTGGTGAGTGGGGGAGAAGGAGAGGGTGGATGAGCAGGGCCAGTCATAATTGATAGTGGAGGCCAACTTTGAAATTTAACGGGAGCTTTTCTTGCTTACCCTTACTCTAGACTGAGCTTCAGCTTTGAAAAACTCTGTGAATAGTCCTTCAGGTGGGTTTGGAAAGCCGATGACTCTCAAAACTTCGCAGATTTGTCCTTGCCCAGCATCCACTCCATTAACATAGTCTGAGTCCACGGATGGGGGAGAGAGCGGGTCTCCCATTATGTCCACTAAGTGGCAGGAGCCAGCAGAGTCCGTCCCTACGAAGGCAGTAGAGGAGGGTAAAGCCGACAGAACCGGGAAAGGCAACCCATCAGCAGAGGTAGGCCTGAAAATGCCCGATGAGAGGCCGAACGGATTGTTCACAAAGGAGGGGGTGGACGAAGTCAGAGAGAGTTGAGCGGCGGGGGAAAAGGTTACTGAATAAAGGGGTGCGAACGAAGCTGGGGTTGGGTTTTGGGGGGTCAGCAGCGGCACCAAGAGTAGACGAAACCGACTTCTTGGGATTGACATCCATAGTGCTGCAGGTGCAAAGGTCATCGGAAGGTGAGTGGTAGAGGGGACATGCACAGGCAGAGCAGGTCCGAGATTGTGGGGATTGGAGTAGAGGGTGAGGGACAAAAGATCCTTGAGCTGTCGGTAGGGTCAGAGAAGGGGTCAGAAGGGGGTAAGGGAAGCGGTTGAGGTGAAGAGGCGTAGAGAAAAGAGGAGAAGAAGAGGTGTAGCAGGCTCAAGAAGGGGTCGACAAATGGATTTAGAGCTACCAGAGGCTAAGGAACAAGTATTGGAACAGGTGAGGAGGGGACTGAGATGATGATGGGGTCACCACTTGAGGGGTCCGCTAGAAAGCCCACCAAAATGCGGGTGGAGCAAAAGGGTGGAAGAAAGGGTCCATGGTGGTAGCTTGGGACGAAGTCTCCACCGATGCAGAATTTTTGGTTGCAACAGTAGCAGCGTCTCTTGTAGGTAGAATGAGGGCAGGAGACGCCTCAGGCACAGACGGGGGTTCTTCCAGGGGAGTATCGAAGTCGATAAGAGGAGGCAGACAGAGAGGTGAGAGACCAGACCTTAGAGGGCTGGAGGGTAGAGAGGTGGGAGGGGTTTGGGGTAGAGTACTCCTGGTCTGTAGGCGGAGGAAGGCATGATGAAGGAGAGGGGCTTTCTGGCTATAATTGAGGGAAGATATATGGTTTCAAACCATTTACCTATCCATCTTGCATAACTAGCCTTAATCCTTTCACAATTTTAGTAACAGTATTACATCGCTCATTTATTTCTATTCCTTAAGTAAAATCAAACTATTTATCACCCATTGATAAACTAGGTCAGGCCCACGACAGGTGAAGAACATATATTAGAGCCCCATTGTGTAGCTCAGTATCTTCTTTCTTTCTTGTTTAACATCACAACAAAGAATATAATTTCTTTCCCATCAAAGTATATAAACAATCTGGTAGCATTATGCTGTCAAATTGATGATGAATAAAATGTCAACAGCCAATTGCACTATTAAACACTTGTACAAACATGTATCCTTTCCTATTATAGAAAACCTTGTATCCAGTGTGCAGTTTGAGCAAATTGTCAAATGGCATGACACATATTGGAACATATTGAAACACATTATAGTACTCTTGAACTTGAATATCATACATATAGGCCTCTCACCTTCTGGCGATTTGGAACACGACCGTGTAAATCATTCATTCTAGCCAAATTCCAGTCTCTTCGATATCCATAAGTAAAACATTCTCACTTTTCTAAATAGGTATGAACAACATAATTTCTACCATGATTCATTTCATCTACTTCACAACGAAGAAGTAAATGAAGTGAAGGTCAAAATGCAGCGACTTACTTCACTTCTGAATGCAGCAGAGGCAGTGCCACGTTCAGCTAATCAATGGCAAGAAGAGTGTAAATCAGTTGCATAGATCTCAGATATGCACCTCTTATATGGCTTAAATATTTGCATCAGGCAGTTTTGACTTCTTCCAATATCACTCCGAGGGGGAACCACACAGCTTGAATATCTTTGTGTAGCTGCTCCACCTGAAACCAATTTCAAATAAGTCAAATGCATCTTGATAACCATAAGAAAATGACCAATGTCTCAACAGAAACCAAAGAGTGGATTATGAATATGGAAAACACTTTGAGAGGAAGTTAGGTGACAAAAGGTAAAACTTCAAAGCAATAGAATTATATGTGCGAATTATATGTTAAATTGATAATTACATGCAAAAGCAGGTTAAGGGGTTCAAAATCTACCATTGTGATGATAGATTCTTCAAATCATGTAACGTTGCTTTTTTTTAAGCGGAGTTACTAATAAAGAACCATTCAATGCTCCCACATATAATAGAATGAAACATTTCGATTACAGATTCAGAACCATGAATTTCCATTAGATACTTAGACTGAAAGGTGTTGTTCCGCAGAGAGTTTAATAACGATGCAGCTTACTGCACACCAGTGTAACCAGTAAAATAATATCTTAAGAGAAAAAGAATAATGATAAAATTATACATATCATCAGTAAGTATAACAGATATTTAACATAGAAACTCACTAATCATATGCCGTAGTTTATCAGGTTCATTACTTCATCAAGATCATTCTAATTTTCTGGAATTGCTTAAGCAAACATATTTTTGTAAAATATGTAAGCCACATGAGTATTTAACTATGAAGATCCATATCATTCCAAAAAGAGGAACAACCCAAGATTCCTATGCAACAAAGCATATATCTGCCCTATGCCTCTGACGCTTAGTGATTTATACTCTGATATAGCAGTGTATGCATGCTAAGCGTTATATAGTGTTATTCTCAAAAAAAAAAAAAAGTGTTATATGGTGTTAACATTCTTAGTGTTATCTACACTGATATGTCATTTTATATAATGATGTATAAGTGATATATCAGTGCATATATATACATATTATATATACATATATAGAAGAAACATCGAGAAACCATATAAGGACGAGAAGTACAAAGTCACAAAAAAATCCGTGGGAGAAATCAAGCTCCTAAATCCTTTAAAGAAGAATTTACAATTCTGGAAAGAAAATGAGTGTGCTCATTTGTTTTCCCTCATTACTTGAACAACAAGATTCGTGCTACATATCAAACAAACAAAAGGAATTGATAGCTGACTTTTGAAATCTCAAAAGATACATCCAAATTAAGGCCTAAATCCACCAAGAATTCTCGTTCAGTATTTGAACAAACTTCCTCTGAAAAGCATATTTCATTGCAGACCCCTAACTCACAGGAAGAAGCATATGAAATAGGAACAGCCAAGATCAGCGGTATAAGAAATTTAGGAGTATATATCCAAGAGAAGCCAAACTGTGTATCAAATGGAAGTATTACACGGTACATTTGCAGTCCATAAATTGGTTGAAGAGGGGATTGCTATGCCTCGTGAGATGTTTGACTCTTCTAATCGAATTGGATTGAATAAAATAATCTACAGAAAGGTATAATTGAACTTATGTATTTAACTATTAATTTTGGTCCATAACACAGAGAAAAGTTAAATGAACTTTCCAGTCACATGTGACATCTGTATTGCGCAAAGCACTTTCAACCAGCTACTATTGAAAACACTCCAGGGTGATTCTCTAGGTGGATGTATAAGAGGATGACCTATGGTACTCACATAGTTATTCAACCTGGAAGGTCATTCTTCCTGGGTTTGATGGGTTATGTTATGCATCAGCCGTTACTCATATGACATGCTCTTGCTTTTGCGTTAGTTTAGCAAAAGGAAGAAATACTCCTATGAATGAGAAACTTTTAAATAATCTAAACTAAAAAAGAATGGTTTGATTATGTACATTCACTGGTTTAATCAGTTAACCTGTGATCACTTAAACAAACCGAGGTAAAACACTCTTAGAAGTTGTAAAGTATTAGGTAATGCCTATGCTAGCATGGGTTTATCAGGTAAGAATATATATATATAGTACCGACATTACCTTCGCCTCTATCCCCACAGCTTTGCTTATCATTTTTTACTTGATTTTGCTGGAAATTTTGGTCAAAGAATGTGTATGAGTTTATGGTCAATACAATGGTTATAACCGTTCGTTCATCTTTTAAATGATATGTAAGCTAATATGTATTTGACAAAAACTACTTTCAGGAACAGATCATCCTCAATAGATCAAACGAAATGAATGGTTCAGATAAACTATCTAAAAAGGATAAATAGTATTTTAACAAACAATTCTCAAACCACATCTACATCATATACATAAACGAGCAATTCAAAATACTTCAATAATTTGGTTGGGTAAATATTCCAATTATTAAGAGATTTGGCTATGAAACTCCAAAATACTTCAACAAATAAATGATTATCAGAAGATTGATAAGATGAATTCATCCAACATTAATTCCTTGCTAAATACCTACTCCAAACTATCCCTATTAAACAAAAAAAACAACTACACACTGAAAAAGCTTTTAATAAATCTACAAAATAAGAGATATCTGAAAATTCTTCCATTAAAATACATTTGAAAAAATAAACTATAAACTACAAACTACATCCTCAAATTGAAGCTAAAAATCTTCAAAAAAAATAAAAATAAATAAATAAAGAGATCCATTAAACAAAGACTTTTATTTCACAATATCTATCAGGCCTTTTATCAAACAACTCTTGTGCTTGATTAGGTAGACTATGTAATCCACACTCTCATAATTCAATCCATGAGTCAAATGCAGACTATCAAACCATGGAAACAACAAAAACCAGAGATTAAAGCCATCTATATCCAGTTCCAACAATCAAACAAATCAAAACAATTCATGTTCACGCTCCTGTGAATCAATGTCCATAAACTTCATTCAATAATCCAAAATTTTTCAAATACTAAGGACGAAAACATATGAAAATCTCACTGCTTGAGCAGCAATGTCGTAGAAAACCTCCAAACTAACCATTCTTGTTACAAATAAATCTCCTTGCATGAGAAACAGTGTCACAAAAATCAGAGAGCCCATTATAGTTCATGGAGAAAGATTCAAAGATAAAACCTACATGATTATTACATGCTCCAAAAGCACTAAACTCTACGTGGAAAAGGGCACATATGAATCAACTAACTAGTATTAGGGTATTTGAGCTGATAAGAGCTTACCTCACTAATCTGGAGTCAGACTTCAGAAGACAGGGTGAGGCTTGGTTGAGTTTTGATGAGAGGGAACCTTGGTTGATCTTTAATGGGAGAGAGATTGCGGGCAGAGGGTAGGACAATGAGGGACCAAGAGAGAGAAGATAGAAGAGAGAAGAGAGAGAAGCACAGTGAAAGAGAGAAGAACCGTAGAGAATAGATTTACAAGAGGAGACACGGAGAGATTTTCCGGGAAGAGAGAGTGCCTGTGTACTGTTTTCCTGCTTCACTCTTGCAGAGAGAAAGAGGGATTTTCAAGAGGAGAGAGAGAAGGAGAGAGATTTTCAGGAGGAGAGAGAACAGAGGGCTCGGTGGGGAAACGAATATGGGGCGCCGAAAGTTCGGCCTCCGCGGGTTCCGACGGAAGCCGAGCGTTCCCACCCTGGACGTTGGAGGGTGAGGGAATTTCCCTTCACTCAATGCAGCACTTGGGCGTGCGGAAGTACTTTAGGGTCTGTTTCGAAAATACGCGTTATTTGAAAATTAGAAGTTCTTTTTTTTGTTGGGAAGAGAGAAAACATCGAATGAAATTTTAAGAGTTGTTTGATATCAGGTTGGAATTTTAAAAGAAGTTTTAGATACCCTAATTTGACAAGGGAAAGCTTTCTATATTCTTTCGACAACATAGAAGTTCTATCCTCCCCTTACCATTCAGCCGTCCATTTTTTATCAGGAGAGTTACTCACCGTTTGATCTTAGATCTGATGTCTTAAAGTGTTTTATTTTTACTTTTTTTAATAGAATTTTTCTGAATATGAAATTTGGTACGTTCCATTTTGTCATTGGGACGCACCTATAAAAAATATTAACAATAGTTTTTCAATAAAAAATAATGACCAAAATACCCCTTGAAAATATCAGGGGTAGTTTGGTTATTTTATTTTATTGATATTTTTTTATATATTTTTCATTAGTGCGAGTTTAATAGAAGAATGGACATCCAAAATTTAATGTCAAAACAGTTTATAGAAAAAGAATTAAAAATAAAAAAATGTAGAGACGTGAGATTATGACTGGGGCAATCTTAGCCCTCCTACGGTTGGATAAGGGAGATGATATAACTTCTATGTTGAAGGGGAACATTGAAAGTTTTCCCTAATTTAAAAATTAGAAGTTTTTTTTTGTTGGGAAGAGAAAAGACATCGAAGGAAGTATTAAGAGTTGTTTGATAACAAATTGAAATTTTAAAAGAAGTTTGAGATACCCTAATTTGACAATATGTTGGAATAGGGGATGTGTTTTTATGTAAGGGTTGTATCAAAGTATAATGCAATGACACTTCTAGAAAACCATGTTTATGGTATTTGAATTACTTAAACTTTTGCACACACACTTTCTTCATATCAATAATCAATTACAAAAAAAAAAAGTACAATTTGGACCCTAGATATGGTCAAAATGAGTGCCCTTCAACAACAAATCTAGATAATTCATTTGGTGTGGTATTACATATCTCTGGGATTTTTTTTTTTATATATAGAAGTTCAAAGATCTTATTAAACGGTTAAAGGGGTTACAGGGAAATTACGGAAGTACAACATCAGAAACCACTAAGATATGTCATTTCTTGCAAGAGTATTTACCAAAACATTGGCCTCTCGATACACATGAGCAAAAGAAAAAGAAAAAGAAAGAGAGAAATTCAAAACTTAAAGCAAGAAGGAACGCAGTTCTCAAGGAACCTTCTTCTCCCTTTTACACCAATTGATGAAATTTAAAGAATCCGCTTCCACAATACACAACGCAGTATAATTTGCAGATTTTTCCCCCAAAGGACCTGCATAAGTGAACATAATTTTACCTTCCCAATCCCTCATAACACCTCCAAACCCCGTCGGGCTCGGATTCCCTAAGGAACTACTATTAAAATTCAACTTAAAAGTTCCCCTAGGAGGCATAGACCACAAGCTTCTTGACCTACAGTTGCGGACCCTCAATGTAGGACGATAAAAAAATTACACCTCACATCGGATTCAACAATATCTTTCCCCAATTTCGAGATCGATAAATACATCCATATAGCATGAAAATTTTTATCCAAGGTTTTATCAAGAGGTAAACAAATCCCATCAAAAACTCGTCTATTTCTTTCTTTCCAGATTTCCCAGAGAACGACACCCCTCCAATCTGCCAAATAACCAAACCAGTACGTGACACATTTGGAATTGATAACGCTCCAAGGACCCCAAAAACATTAGCAGGTAACACTAGAGCCACACCAATCTTACCAAAAAACCAACGCCAAATAACAAACGTAAAAGGGCAATGCAGAAACAAATGGGGACCTATTTCACTATCAATCCTTACATAGAAGACAAATATTTGGCTAAATCTTACCTCTTTTGATGAGGTTATCAGTAATTAAAACTCTGTCTTGTACTGCTAACCAAGGGAAAGCCTGGATTTTAAGCAAACATGCCACTTCTAAATATTTACAATTTCTGGCCTTGAGGAGGTCATGGAAGAGAAGATGATACATTGATCTAACTGAAAAGTCTCCATCTTTGGCTAAGTCCCAAACCACCTCATCATTCCCGCTTTGTGGGATATAAATATCGTTTAAAGCAGTAAGAAGTTTAGAGAACTGAGTGAAGGTATCATCAGGAACCCTATTATAAAGGAGATTAATCTGCCATTCCACCATGTCCCCCCTAAAAACTAATAAGTTGTCAATAACCGCATTTGGCTTTTCCACACATTGGAAAAGTAGAGGAAAGACAGCTTTCATGGGAGAGTCATCAAGCTAGTTGTGATGCTAAAAGTAAATACTACTACCATTCCCCAAAGACCATCGAATGCCCCTATGGATTAAGGATATACAGTAGGTAATTGCTTTCCAACAGGGTAAAATTCATCTATTACTGCCTCTATCTCCAACGCACATCTGGAATCTATCCTCCTCATACTTTGCCGCAATAACTTTGTACCATAGCTGATCTTTAAATTTAACGCTCCTTCACCACCACTTGTACAAGAGAGCCTGGGTGACCAACTTGATTTTCCTTAAACCCAAATCACATTCCTTTCTAGGTGTGCAAACCCTATCCCATTGAAGGAGATAGAATTTTTGGAGTCAACTACAGAGCCCCAAAGAAAATTACGCATAAGCAACTCAATTTTACGAGCTACCGATGCTGGAATATGCAAAAACTACATCTAATAGATAAGAAGGTTGGATAAACAAGCTTTAATCAAAGTAATTCTTCCCCCAAAGAAAGATATTTATATTTTCATAAATTAAGCTTTGTTTGAATCCTTTGAATGACCCTATCCCACATAGCCAAAGGCAACCGACCATCCGAGATAGGTAGACCAAGGTAAATTATAGGGAATTGTTCAACTCTAAACCCTAATACCTCTACCAAATCCTTAACCAGTAATTCATCACAATTAATACCAATGACCCATGTTTTTTCAAAATTCACCTTCATCCCCAAAGCCGCTTCACAACAATTTAAAAACAGTGCAATATTGGAAACATGATCCACCCTAGCCTCACAGAATAACAATGTATCTGCATATTGAAGGTGAGAGATGCATGGACCATTATTTGGCAACTGAAAGCCCACAAAATGTCCTTTAGACACAATGTTGCGGATAAATATGCTAAAACACTCTGCATAAATAGTAAAGAGGAATGGGGAAAGAGGATCACCTTGGCGAATGCCCTTAGACGTTTTAAAGAAGCCCGTCAGACTACCATTATACAAAACAGATAAATGAGCCGAGGAGAGGCAACCAAATATCCAGTTCCTCTTTTTGTCCCCAAAACCCATATTCTTTACAATCTCTAAAAGCACACTCCATTCAACTCTCTCATATACTTTTTCCATATCCAATTTAATTATCAAACTAGGAATCCCATTTAAAACATGAGAATGAATACATTACTGAGCTACTATAACACCATCAGTGATCAGCTTATCCTTAATAAAGGCAGATTGAGGGCCAGAAATAATGTAAGGCAACACAGTCTTAAGACGCTCCGTCAGCACCTTGGCTACAATCTTATAGAGACTTGTTAGAAGACTAATCGGTCTGATATTGCCTAAGCTAACAATAATAGACTTTTTAGGAATAAGAGTAATAAACGTGGAGTTCACACCTCTGAATACCTCACCTCTCAAAAGGAAACCTCTAACCATCTCCAGCAGCTTAGTACTTACAAGATTCCAGAAAGTATGGAAAAAGATTAAAGGACACCCATCTAGCCCAGGGGCCTTATCTCTTGGTCAAGAAAACACCGTTCTTTTGAGTTCTTCCATGGAAACTTACCCTTCCAAAGAGGCAACCAAATGAGAAGGAAGAACATTGAAACCCACCCTATCAAGCTTTGGGGTGACCCTGATCTCAGAGAAGAAAGCCTTTTGAAAGTGATTAACGATAACATTGGCCATCAGCTCACTATTCTCAAGATCAACACCCTGAATCACCAAACCAAAAACATCATTCTGACGGGTATTAACTATAACATGAAAAAATGTCATATTCAAATCCCCTTCATTTAGCCACTTAACACAGGAATGTTGCTTTCAATACACTTCTTTGACTCTCCTAAGTTCCTCTAACTCCGTACAACAACAGGCAACAACAGGCTTTCTCTACTGAATCTTGTACTTCGAAATCAATCAACTGAATCTTGCTAAGAGTTTTTTCAATTTTACCCCTGATATGAATACAATTAGTAATTTTCCAGGCCAACAACCTATGTTTGATAATGAGCAACTTCTTATGAAGATGAAAGTCAAGAGAACTAACAGAGATAGAATTCTCCCAAGTTCTCTTAACTAGTTCAGTCACATCTTTTTTGTGCAACCAACCAAATCTCCATCCTAAATGGAATGGGACCCTTAAAGACCTTCTTAGTACACAAAAAGATTGGGGTATGGTCAAAATAAAGCCTAGGCAAGGCTTTGACCGTAGCTAAAGGGAATTTTTCGGACCATTATCCAGAAATCAGAAACCTGTCAAGTTTGGACATAAAAAGATTTACCACACTCCCATTGGTCAAAGTAAAAGCAGATCAGGGATTGACAAGTCAATCAAAGCATGACCCTCAATAAAATGATTAAAGACATGCATCGAATGCGTCATCCCCCCACTGTTATTACTATCATCCGGCCATCTAGTAAAATTAAAATCCCCTCCACGACAAGTAGGATATTCAAAAGACTGAAGAACTTCTGACATTTCATTGATAAAAACATCCTTAGCAGCAGCAACATGGGGACCACAAACATTCATCAAACTCGACTTGAAGTTAGAAAATGGCCCCAAAAACCCACAAACACAAAATTCGTTTTAAGCACCACAGAAAATGATTGTAAAACTGTAGGATCCCAAATAATCTATAGCGCCCCAGAAGCAACCACAACATCAATCCCCACAAAATCCACAGAGCCAGGTCCCCAAACTTCCCT